GGAGGAAGAACATGAACAACGAAGTCAGGAGCACGAGGGATGCATCCACCCACTGAGAAGTTGGGACTGATCTAATGGGAGCTTACCAAGGCCAGCTGGACTAGGAGTGATGGAGCATGTGATCAAACTGAACACCCTGAATGTGGCTGGCAATGAAGGCTGACTGAGAAGTCAAGGATAATGGCATTGGGTTTTGATTCTACTGCATGGACTGAGTTTGTGGAAGCCTGGTTTGTTTGGATGCTCACCTTTATAGACCTGGATGGAGGGGGGAGGACCTTGGACTTCCCATGGGGCAGGGAACCCTGACTGCTCTTAGGACTAGAGAGAGAGATGGAGGTGAGGAGGGGGAGGGAAAAGGGAGGTGGGGAGGAAGTTGAAATTTTAAAAAAATTAATTAATTATTTAATTAAAAAAGAATGCCTTAACTTTAAAATGGAAGTAAAAATATGTATTTGTAAAGTGAAACTTAAAAGATGCACTGCTTTGAAGACTAGGTTTTGCTTTTGTCCCCACAGGCGACAGGAGACTGTGGATTCCTTCAGGATCAATAATGGATCAAGTTTGATCGGGGAGACCTACTGAATCTTGATAGATGACATCTATCAATGAAGGTTACAGGTGATCTTCCCAGGACTTGGTCATTATCTCAATTTTATCAGGGATGCCTAAATATGTCTTCTCCCACAGACAACAGGAAGCAATATAGAGAACACAATGCCCACATTCCCAAGAGATAGGGTGGGTGTTCTTTGGTTATTTGGTATATTATGGATGGTTTTTATCATTTAGAAGATATAGGAATATAGGATAAAAAGACAACTACTAATCTCAGATATTTTGCATTGGCATCGATTTTGTTATATTTATACAAATTTAAAGTAATTTTTGTTATACTGTACATATGTTTCTACTCTTGGTTGGGGTACTGTGCTTACACAACTCATTTAAAATGCAAAACATAATTAAGAAATGAGGTTAGTAGTTAATCTGTAATAATTAAACTTGTAGTCACATTAGGTTTCCAAGGTTATAGATAAGTATACTTTAGACAGATAAATGATCTTCATACACTTCAAAGGCTATAGAAGATGACATTTAAATGTTTTATTAACATAGGGCTTTTCATGAGAGTGAGATACACCTGCTTTTGCAAGCACCAATTTACTTCATTAAAGAATGATGGAGCTCTAAATGGAATTTGCTTTCAATGAGGGAAGGTTAGCCATTTGGGAAAGTAACTACTCTTGTCTTGACTGCTTAAGAGGATGCTGTGCAGACTACCCGTGCAGGACTCACAGGAAAGTAACTTCTGCACATGCCAAAACCAGGTAGGGCAGTCCTGAAAACCTCCTGCTTCATAGAAGAGTGTGCCAGATAGTCTAGGCCTGTAGGCTTAAGATGGACACCCTAACATTTCAGAGAAACTTTGGATGACTCTTATGGCAGCCAGATTCTCTGGTGTTAGGTAATATTACATGCTTCTGAGGCTTTTCATGGAGTTGAAGTCTAGATAGTTATATTTGCAGTTTTCCTTAGTTAGGATAGAAAGTAAATCAGGTATAAAATTTTGTATTTCCTAAGATAGATAATGGAGTATTTTCTGTAAATATGCAAAATACAAATTGACTAAATATTGTAAATGTAATACTGGATAACTGTTTTGTTGTACATAGTTTTATTATGTTAAAGTTAAAACCTTTCATTTTTATTTAGAATAAAAGAGGAAATGTTGTGGAATATTAGTGTAAATTGTGCTACATTTGTTTAGGCTGTGAAACATTTGTTTAATGATGCAGAGTTGTGTTGTATTCTTTTATGTTATTTTGTAAGCTGTGTTACATTGCCTGTCTAAAATACTTGATTGGTCTAATAAAGAGCCGAGTAGGTAATAGCCAGGCAGGAGAGGGCTAGGTGGGCTGGCAGACAGAGAGAATAAATACAAGGAGAAATCTAGGAAGAAGATTGAGGAATGAGAAAAGAAGGAGGGGGGGACTCCAGGGTCCAGTCACCCAGCTACACAGAAATCCACAGAATAATACATAAAGAAATATATATAATAGAGAAAGAATAAAACCCCAGAGGCAAAAGGTAGATGAGATAATTTAAGAAAAACTGGGTAGAAACAAGTCAAGCTAAGGCTGGACATTCATAAGTAAAAATAAGTCTCCGTGTGTGTATTTAATTGGGAGATGGTTGGCATGCCCCAAAAGAACAAAGAGTAAAAGAGTGAAAAAATCCAACAATATCTCTCTATTGTTATTCTAGGAACAGTACTTAAAATACAAATCCAAGAGCTTTTTCTTTTTTACTTAAGACTCTTTCCCTTTTTGACAATGTTCCTATAACTTTCAGTCTTTTCAAAACATTGCCTTATCTATTGCATCTCTCATATATTCAAGGTACTTATAAATAATTACTGATTTATTTTTGAAGCACATTTTAGAAGTATTAAGTAAACTTCAGTACAAAATGTAATTTGGTTATTTTGTGTAGTCATTTATTAATGGAAATGTCTAATTCATATTTATAAATTTCTAGATTTAACAGAATATATGAAAATATTGTATTTTTCAGTGTTATTATTTCATCATTTTGAACTTCAAACATTCTGCTGTAAATACAAAATGGCTGGCTCCGAAAGGTTTTAATGAAGTTGTTGCAACTCATCTAAATCTGTCATCTGATATGGAATATTATTATATCTGCTTTTATAATCTAACTTTTAGATAACTTATTAAGTGACGCTAGTCATTTAGTAATGTAGTTCTAATTCCACTTAAGACAGAATTAGTCATTACCATAAAAGTGATAACTTTGGGAATTAAGATCTCATTAAGTATTTCTAAATCTTGTAGCACAAAATGATAACCTACACATATACTTTGAACTAAGTCAAATATATTGGCAACCTGTTGTGATCAAAATAGATTAAACATTTCAAACCACTTTGGAAACTCAGAGAGAAGCTGTTAAATTTGTTTTCATTTACCTGTTATCTCAAATGTCTACTTGTTTTCTATAAAGGTTAGTAGGTTAAGAGATTTTCAGGTGCTAGCAACTATGTCTTTCACTTAGATTTTAAATTTTTTAGCTTACAGCATGGTTTAATTATAAATGTCTATTACATGATAAAATTAAAAAGGTTGCAATTGGTTTAACTATGTATGCTGGACCTGGGTTGGTTAGTTGTTTTAGTTGACTTATGGTTGGTAAAAACGTGTTATTACTTTAAAGTGAGATTCTTTCAATTTGTTAACTATATGAAAAGCACCCATGTTCTATTAACAATTGTTGTTTTCTTTTTAATGATTGTTTTTTCAATTGCCATATATGCCATTTTTCAATTTCCATGAAAATATGGAACATCAAAAGTCTTAGTGAAGGCCACTCACGCTTAGAGAAAATACTCTAATTTGGAAGGCACATCAAATACATTATTTTTCAGGCTATTCATAATTTACTTTGAAGTCTATTCATCTCCAATGAAAATATTTTAATTGGCTGCAAACATTTTAATAGTCTAATCCTAGTATAAACATTAGAAAACATACTGCCAGGTATAATATTTATTTGGATAGTCCATGAAAAGCTCATTTTGTTATTATATTTTAGAGAAATCAATGGTTTGCACTTGGAAAATTTGTTTTCAATGTAAATGAAATCTGATTTGTAGGTACATTTCATCTTGTCATCCTTGGTTAGAAAGCATGTTCATACATGCCATGATTTTAACCACAAAATGATAACTATATTCCTCAAAAATGTAAACTTTAAAACCATACTTTCATTTGGCCATGAATACCAAAAGAATAAACTAAAACACATTTCAATTTTTCATACTAATGCAAACAAAGGTTCACTTGAAAGAAATGGAAAAACAAGAAAAAACTCTTTAAATTCTAAATAATTTATCTGAGCAATACTCTTTTATTAATTATAACTACCCAATATGAGCTTTAAGTGTATATAAGAGAAACATAAAAACCATACTTGCTGTTTCTATGAAGATGCTGTCTCTAGGGAAAAATCATAAAACTGTTCTCTATTAAAGTAAAAGCATTAAGGAGATAATTTTGTACTTCTATTTTGACTATTTGAATCTGTGCCTCACTCTAAATGTATAGTTGCATTAATTTACTTATTTAAAAAAAGCAAATTACATGAAGTTAAACATTTGCACAGACACTGAAGTCAAATTTAAGTTTATTTGTTTACCTTGTCTACTGTATAAAATGCAATGTATATCAACTTAATTATGCTTTTTTGATGTGTTGGTAAAGTTACACAAAAATAACTGTATTTTGTTATTGTCAAAAATAGTTCTCTATGTACTTAAGCAATCTTAATTTGTGAATTTAATTCATACTAGAGGAAATAATTGATAAAAACATAGGTTTATTTATTATAAAGAAAAATAAGATAAACAGATTTTAAACTAAAGTTATAAAATCTATTAGTGGGTTTTGCTTTCTTACATGTCATCAAAAGAACTCAAGTGTTATTTATTTAAAAGTAAACGAGAGTTAAGAATGCCAAAGCTACTTCAAAAATCTTTCTTAAAAATATTAGTGATTTCATAGTTGATTTTGCTTAAATGGTTTCATTCACAACACTTAAGATTAATTTTGATTGTTCTTTTTTTTCCTCCTTCCTTCTTTTCCATTCCTTCCATAATTCCCTTCACCTTTTCTCTATCACTAAAGACGAATTAGCCAAAACAAGGGTACAAGTGAGCGATACTTATGTAAAAATCTACTGGCTTGCTTATGACTAGGTTTACATTTACGAACTTTTCAAACATCACTAAGAAAGTAGAGAAGTAGAACAGTATTATAGCCTATTCAGTTAGTTTTCCATTCACCAATGTATAGAAGATGAATATTTCCTTTTGAAAATCACACTACAGACTTTCCCATGTAAAATAAATAATACTGGATACTTTGTCTCCACTATTCCACAGTTTACATATCCAATAGTTTTAAATGAGGATCAATAACCTAATGCTAAAAATTACAAGAAATTGAGAATGAATTTGAAATGTATATTTATGTAAACTTACCTTAAATAAATTATTCACAGCACCTGATGATATAGCAAACTTCATAACTTTTGGTAGTTCAGCTTCAACTATAACATCAAAACTGTGGAGTGGAATATTTAGATTGGAAAGAATCTTGAGAGGAGAAGGATCCTTGATGCCAATTGGATTCTGGACCCCAGAAAAATCTTTTAAAAAGCCAGATTCTTTGGCATCAAGGGCATCTGCTGACCCAGTGGCATACTTAGAAGTATCAGAGTCCATGTATTCAGTAGTGTTTTGGAACTGAGCACCAAAATTTTGGTTATCAAAAATTATATAAGCTCTAACAAATCCAAGTGGATTGTAAAATTCAGAGGTTATCAAAAATTCAGGATAAGAAGTATGATTTGTGCCAGTAATAAAATGTGAGATATTTCTATAAACAATTTTAAGAATAGATGATGATATAAAACTGGCTTTTAATTCATTATCAGTTAGAATGTTAATATTGCTGGTACTAGAAGAATTATGGTCATTCTGAATATTTTTGATGATAATTTTGAATCCATTAAAATGACTAAGGAAATGTTTATTTTCTGGGGCATAGTTTTTTCCAGCAGTAAACTGAGAGCTAATAACAGCAGTACAGCTGATGATGTTGCTAGTATTAATGGCATTGATAGTGCTAAGTGCAAAGCTGGATATAATAGCATATTTCTTTTTGCCAAAATAGTTTGGGCTGACTAGAAAACTTGATCTTACTTCATATGTAAACCCTGTGATATCATTAAGATCTAAATAATATTTTATGGCAATTGTATGTTTGTGACTAGCAGTGCTAGAAGTTTCTGTGTCATAGTTAGAGTCAGAAATATTGTTAGGTACAACATTATGGCTAGTAGCATTATTGGGTTTGGTATTATAGTTAGACTCAGTATCTTTTGGGAGTCCATGGTTGTTTTGGGGGCTAGGGTTGTTCTTAGGATTAGTTTCATTTTGGATGAAGTAAAGACTGTTGGAAATTGGTCCAATAGTCTCAGAGTAAATATTATTTCCTTGTCCAGTGTCATTTCTAGGAACAGAATCATAGTTGGAACCAGAAATATAGTCCAGCACAGTTCTAATTTTGTTTCCAGAGGCAGAGTTTGGAGTTGTTTGGAGTTTGGAGTCAGCATTATTGTGTTGATTGACATCTTCTGCCAGATCAGGAGCATTGTCTAAATCAGTGTAATATTTCAAGTTAACATCACTTCTGGAGGCATTATCAATGGCAGGGTCAGATTCATTGTTATGATCAGTTACATTTTTAGAGTCACCATCCTTGATGGAATCAGGTCCACTTGTAGGCCCAGAAGCACCACTAGGATCAGACCCACTATTGTTATCAGTGTTATTTTCAGAGTTGCCATCTTTAGGATCACTGCCGTCGGGGTCAGATTTATCTTTGGGATCTTTCTTATCTTGGTTATCTTCATCTTCAGTGTCTGTTTCATCTTCAACATCTGTTTCCTCTTCAGTATTTGTCTCATCTTCACGGTCTGTCTCATCTTTGGAAAGAAGTTTGTTTTTATCATCAGCCTCATCTTTGATATGTCTAGCACTGATAAGTTTAATAAGGCTATCATCAGAATTATCCTTATTTTGAGTTTGGGCAGTAAGACTGAATTTGCTTTCACTTGCAGATAATCTTTTTGGTGCCGACATTTTGTGGCCAGAGGTACTATGCTGGCCCATGATTTTTTCAGATTTTATAGTAATGGTTTGGGTAGCAGCAGGGCTCTTAAGATTTTGGAGAGCTGAACAACTTTCACAGTGTAAATAAGAGGTGGATTCCACAGAACATTTAAAATCTTCCCTGTGCAGAGAGCAGCGGATGCCCACACAATGCTTAGGATCCAGAGATCGAGACAAAGGGCTCTTTCGAGAAGTCTTGAGGTATCTAGCAGTTTTAGAACCCAAAGAACATTTAGAATCTGAGGAAATTTGGCTATGTAAAGGAGAGTCAGAGTCAGAATCATCAGAATTTGTGGAACATTTATGAAAAGAAGAGTTACTGATTTCCATAAAACATCTGGCACATCTTCGAGTTCCTACATCCAAAGAAGATGTAATACTTCTTCGAGTCTTCTGTCTTGTGACAGACTTAGAACTCTTAGAATTTGGGCTGTCAATAAGTGATGATACATTAGAGGTGCAAGTCTCAGAACTTAGAGGAATAGGAGCAATTTGATACTTTAAATTCTCAAAACCATGGGCATATCTATACTCCCTGCAATGGCGCTTATAGACAGATATTTTCCGGCTGGCTTTTCTGTGGTACTTCTCATCGGTGAATGTATGAGAGTCTGGAGAAAAACTATAGTCGTGTTTATCCTTTATTTTTTCCTGTGACAGCTGCATGGCACTGAGACTTGAAGATGCCTCTTTGAATCTCACAGTTTTGTCTTCATTTTTGTATCTTGTTAACTGACTTCTGCAAACTGAGAGAAGAATAATATATGAGCAAGAGTAGACAAATATATAATGAATCTAACTTTAATGTTCACATTATAATAGAAATCTGTGCAAACAAAACATAATTTCCTTCAAAGTATTATGGTGAGTTTTATTTGATTTTTAAGGGGAGGCCATGACCCTAAATTTTCTTCTCAATTAAATGTCATTTGAAGCTTTTTAAGCTATAAATAAAACATGGTCATTTACTTCAGATAGTCATTTTCTTTAAGTTGATAGAGTTTACTCTTTAGAAAATTAGTCACTATATAAGAATTTACAAAATGCTTTGACCAATATACAACTATAGCTTTACAAATTTGTTACAATAAAGCTATTTATATTGTTTCATTGTATTTAGAAATTTTAAGTACTTTATTGGCTTCTGGGCTATACCATTTATAACATGTAAAATCTCCATGTTTAGAGAAAAAAACATATCCTTGTATTTGATATACATTCTGGTATAAAAGTTAACAATATCTATATCTTCTATAGCTATCAAGAAGTTAATGTTAGCCGGGCGGTGGTGGCACACATCTTTAATCCCAGCACTCAGGAGGCAGAGGCAGAGGCAGAGGCAGAGGCAGGCAGATCTTTGTGAGTTCGAGGTCAGCCTGGTCTACAAGAGCTAGTTCCAGGACAGGCTCCAAAGCTACAAAGAGATTCTGTCTCGAAACCCCCCCTCCTGCACCAAAAATGAACTCAATGTTATATCATTGGGGAAATATAGATATTTACCAATATCTTAGCTTTAAAATTGAACTAAAATTATTGAATTTTATTATGGACAATCTTGTCATCAAAGTACATAGGCAAGTACTAAATTTTAAAACAAATATAAACCTTTTTGCTATTCCCTCCATGTTTCAAGTATATTTTTATGCATAAACATAAAATCATATTTTGGAAAGAGTTTAGGAATACTGAATGGTAATTTCCTTTTAGAAAATGGTAATAAAATTTTTACAAAGACATAATAAGCGGTAAAAAAATGACATCTTGAATTTTGCATGCAAATGGATGGTAATAGAAAATGCTTTACTAAGTGAGGTAACCCAGACCCAAAAAGAGGAATATGGTATGTACTCACTCATAAGTGAATTCTAGCCATAATTAAAGGACATTGAGCCTATAATTCATGATCCTAGAGAAGCTAAATAAGAAGGTGAACCCAAAGAAAATCATATAGTTATCCTCATATACACAACTAAATATTACTCTGGTGTAAAAGAAAATATGAAGAGTACAGGTTTTAGAAGAAATTATACAGAGCTGGAGTATCCAAGGCTCAAGAAGACAAATTCTATATTTCTATATTCAGATGATAGATTTATTTTTGCTTTGTGAATTTAACCTGGAGTACAATCAAAATCCATAAAACTGGAAATGGGCCTTGGTGTGACATATTTAGAAGAGAGAGGATAATAAAATAAAGGTGAAAGGAAAGAAGTGGCTTACTAGAGACAGAATGGCTCAAGCAAGAAATGGACTAAAGTGGATGAGAAAATAAGAGCTCAAAGGAAGAATTAACAAAAATTAAGTGTGTATGAAAAAGCTACACTGGAACCTATTATCTAGAAACTCAAATAAAATGATAAGTTGAGGGGCAGGAGAGATGACTCAGTGGTTAAGAACACTGTCTGCTCTTTCAGAGAACCTGTTCAATTCCCAGCACTCACATGGCAGCTCACAACTATCAGCACTGCTTGATGTAGGGGATTCAACAACACTCTCACACAGACATTAATGCAGGCAAAACACAAATGTATGTAAAATAAAAATAAATAAATTACTTTAAAACATAATTAGAAGGGAAAATGTTTAATGAAAGAACAATGGGGAATATTGGACACAAAAGGTTTAAGTGGGGACAGGGACAAGGAGTAGAAGAAAGGAGGGATTAGGGTGGGTTAACAAAATCAAGAAAGTACTAAGCAGCTTGATGAAACTCCACTATTTTGTTAACTATTTAATATATATGCATATATATGTGTGTATATCATGTATATATATATATATTCATATTTAAATGGAGTTTGAATAGGAGTACCTCATGCATGAACAATGCTGATTTCTAAATATATGGCCTTAGTGAAAATTTCATTATCAGGCATGCATTACTTTCCTCAAATGAGAGGTACCAATGTGAGGTACTCAAAACAATGAATATATCTACTGCTCTTGGTTGCCCATCTTAACTAGATGCCAAGACTCTATTGCTGAAGACACCCCACATTCTACTTGTTGGGCAAAGAAAAATTATTCCTGAACTGAACATGAGACTACCTTTCTCCTTGTCTGGTTTCACAGTGCTACAAAGTGCTATGTGGGCTCTCTGGTGAGAAAAACTATTAATGGCCTTATACAATATTGTACTCCTCACACTACAATACTGACTCACCAGGCAAGATATGCCCACTTACACATTAATGAAAAGATGGTTTATGGAGTCACCAAACACTTTCTTGAATGGATTTGAGGCTTGCCTTACAAGAGGGAATTTATGCTTGCTTCTGTAAACATGGCCAAAACTCCATTACTAGAGAAATCACAAGTCCTGGCAGAGGAAGAATCACTTTTCATTGTGAGTGTTGACCAGTGGTAAGTTGCCCATATGTTAGTGGATAATCTTGTGCATATGTGTAACACTAATTGGACTCAGTGTGTTATAAAACATTTGTAAAGAAGATATGAAGTTAGTAGAGAAATGTATTAGAGTAAGAGAATGGGAAGATGGGTATGATAAGATACATTATATACATGTATGACATTTTCAAAAATAAAGAAGTGGAAAAATGTACTGGAATGCTTGGAAAAATGAGGGCATTTAAAAGAACATTTCTGTCTGTTACTATGGCTACCTGGAATGGTGCACCAAGTCATCCCATAGAATCATAATTTCCCCCCAAGGAATTATACATTGGGAGTAGTGGTTTAGGCTTGGTGATAGCCCAAGGGAAAACTTGTAAAAGGATTTCACATCCCACCACCATAACAACTTGTCAGATCACCATGCAGGACTGACCAGTCAGGGCAATACTAAGTCAATTATGGACATAACTACACCTTGACCAGGACTTAGTTATGTATACCTCTTGCCTTCTATTTAAAACTTAATCTGTTGGAGAATGTCATTTTAAGGTGTATTACTTTTGTTTATGCTGTGGAACATTTGTTTAATGATGTAAAGATGTGTTGCCTTTGTTTATTCTGCATTTGTTTAATTAAGTGAAGCTGTGATTCTTTGCCTGTCTAAAACACCTGATAGTCTTAATAAAGAGCCGAAGGCCCAATAGCGAGGCAAGATAGTTGGGCTGACAGGCAAAGAGTACAAATAGAAGGAGGTAGGAAGACATCAGGGACCAGTCACCTAGCCAGCCAAGGAGTAACAGTGAAAGTAAGATAAACAGAAGTAAGAAAAGGAAATATCCCAGAGGCAAAAGATAGATAGGATAATTTAAACTAATAAAAGCTGGCAAGAAACAAGTCAAACTAAGGCCGGGCATTCATAATTAAGAATAAGCCTCCCTGTATGATTTATCTGGGAGCTGGATGGTGAGCCCCTCAAAAAAACAAGAGTAAAACTTCACACAACAATAACCTTATGTCAGAATGCTTAAATATGAATTTTGTAGGGATTTCACTGGATTTCTTAGACTCCTCCCATTTTGGTCACATTGACTAAATCTCGTTTGCATGTTCACCATTATTTAGGTTCTTTTGATAAGCTTATTGAAGATAGGTGGCTGAACCAGATTTGTTAGGACTTCCAGGGGCATAGGCTCTCATCCTAACAGTGGCAACAATATTTAGAAGATGGAATCTTTGGGAGGTGATTAGATTAGATAAACATTCAAGTGTAAGCTGATGGTTTGAATCCTAAATGATTCATATGATAAGTAAAAGATATCAGAGAATACACGGTCAATTATTTGTTCCATGTTCCTTATTATTTGTTTCCATATCACCTTAGGACTCTGCTCAACAAAATGCTACCACAGGATGTACCCCCTAAAAATTGCACCTTTAGAACAATGTTACAAAAAGGGTGGAATAAGAAGGAACTGGGATGTAAAATAAGGTTGTTTTTTTTTTTAAAGAAAAAACCTTTTCATCATACTGTAACTTGTTTAACTATAACTATACTGCATTATAGTAACACACATGAACTAATACACTAAGGCATATCTTCATTGATATCATTAAAGCAGCTGCCTGTCCACTTGTTTTATTTCCACAATCTCTATAAAGCTGTAAAGTTAATTCTATAAATTCTAAATTAACTTCTACTGCAATGGGAGAAAAAACTTTTTATAAAAATGTAGCTAATTTAGATGATAAAATGATATGAATACATTAAATACTTATTACTTTATAAGTACTGAAAAGATAATCCAGGTCAGAAAAAAAATGTAAAAACTTTAAAAGGAAAAGAGTATGTACAGGTAATTTCTAGATGTAGATACACTGGAAGTGCTTTACCATCTTTTCAAATAAACACTCATTACATCAGATGTCTACTCATAATTTCTGATTTTATCACCCTGTATAAATATTTTTGGTCAGGTTAATTTAAATTCCAATAAAGGAAGATAAGAAAGACATAGGGTATTCTTGTATGTCACTGAGACTTGGAAATAATCTGACTCTATGCTTGTTGTTCTTGACTGACTTTGATTTTCTAACAGAAAGCTGCCACTTTATTTTGTTTTGGTTTTTTATTATTGACTTCATATGACCTTATAACCTAGACCTGAATCTATACTCTAACTCTAATAGATCTGCTATTTCAGAACTAATATTAAGCTGTGTCAAACAGAAATCACTCTACTTAAAGAAAGTAATTCAGATATGTCAGAATTCAGACACTCCTATAAGTATCCACAAATTCAGAAAACAGGATGAGTGCTTCACTGTTTCTGGGTCAACCATAAATGCTTACAGGAAAAGCTTTAAGTTAGTCTGAAAACAAGATGTTAGTAAT